TTCGAAGATTGATTCGCTAGTGTGAGATTTTTTGAGTATCTAGAATTGAGATTTAGATGTGTCGCCCCCCTCTGTTTAGATTGAATTTGGATTGTAATTTTATAGGAGTGATAAGAAAATTTAATTTGAATTATACTTGAGTTAGGTTGGGTTTGGATTGATATTGTATTGAACTAAAATTGGGTTTGCATTGTATTTTCATAACATTGGGATTGGATTGGAATAGGATAAGATTTGCATTTAATTTACATTCAATTCAGATTGGATATAGATAGAATTTACATGGATTATTTTTATTTTGTAATAAAACAGGATTAGGTAGATTTGATCAATTTAAAATTGGATTTGAATTTTGCCTCGATTTGTATTAAAATTTTTATAAGATTTGGATTTGATTTGAATTGGACTCGGATGGTATTTTGATTGACTTAAACGAGAATTAAATTCGGATTGTATTAAACTTAGTTTGATGAATCTTAATCGGAGTTTGATTGAAATGGTATAAGATAAGAATTAAATTTGAATTAGGTTTAGCTTGGCTTCATAATGGATTTGATGGAATTTAGATTTGTTCTGGATTGGATTCAAATTAGATTGGAATTTAATTGTTTTAGTTTAATATTTGAATTGGATTTGGATTAGGCTTTATGTTGGATTTCGATTGTATGTACATATTTTGAAAGGATTAGAAAAAGATTGGTATGGGATTGACGTAAGGTTCAGTAAGGATTGGTTTTGAATTGGTCTGAACGTAGATTGAAACATAAATCAAATGGTCTAAGATTTAAATTGTATTTGAATTAGATTTGTATTGGATTTGTATTGGATTTTCATAGGATTTGGATTGGATTAAAATTAGAATATTTTTATTTTTGAGTTGGGTTTGGAATTGGTTTGGTTCTTCTTCTTCTTATTCGCATTTCAAGCTTATTGCTTAGCGCATATTAGCTTATTGCGTGCTCTCAACTTAGTGTTCTAAATGCACTTCCACAGTTATTATTGAGAGCTTTCGATGCCAATACCAATGCATGAATTTGTATATTGTGTGGCAAGCACAATGATACTCTATGCCCAGGGAAGTCGAGAAAATTTCCAACCCGAAAGATTCCCTCGACCGGACCGGGAATCGAACCCGCCGCCTCCGGCTTGGTAATACCGTGCCTTTACTGACTAGGCTATGAGGCCCCAATTGGTTTGGTTATGGATCGGATTAAACGAAGATTGAATTATGATTGGAGTGGAAATTTAGGTTGGGTTCCGATCAGATTTGAAAAGGAATGGGATAAGATTTTTATTGGATTTGGATAGGCTTTAACATGGATTTATGTTTTATTTGGGTTGCATTTAGGTCGAATAACATTTGGCTTTATTTTAGGTTGATTTTGATTCGAATTGGTTTTGATTTGAACTCGGATTGGATTTGAACTTGCGTTGAGTCAGATTTGGATTTTATTAGGATTGGATAGATTCGATTTGGATTGAAATTATATTGGAATATTATAGAAATTAAAGTGAATTGATACTTGATTAAGGTTGGTTTTGGATTGATATTGTATTGAATTAAGATTGGGTTTGCATTTTATTTTCATAACATTGGGTTGGAATAAGACTTTGATTGATGTAGGATTTTTTTTAAGACTGGGATTGGATTGGAATAGGATAAGATTTGCATTTAATTTACATTCAATTCAGATTGGATAGAGAGAAAATTTACATGGATTTTTGTAATAAGCTAACGATTAGAGTTTTACTAGATAGAATTGGATTCACATAGGATTTTGATTAAATTTAGATAATATTTTAATAGGATCTAAATTGGAATAGGATTAGATTTGCATTGAGTTTATTGAGTTTAAATTTGGAATGCAATTGAGCTTTCATTTGGATCGGATGTAGATTTAGATTAAACTTGGACTGGATGTGAATTTGGATTAGGTAGATTTGATCAATTTAAAATTGAATTTTAATTTTGCCTCGATTTGTAATAAAAAATTATAAGATTAGGATTTTATTTGTATTGGACTTGATTGACTTAAACAGAAATTAAATTTGGATTGGATTAAACTTAGTTTGATGAATCTTAATCGGATTTGGATTGAAATGGCATAAGATAAGAATTGGATTTTATTTAGGTTTAGCTTGGCTTGATAATGAATTTGATGGAATTCAGATTGGTTGTGGATTGGATTCAAATTAGATTGGAATTTAATTGTATTAGTTTAATATTTGAATTGGATTTGGATTAGGCTTTATGTTGGATTTCGATTGTATGTACATAGGATTGTGATAGAATTAGAATAAGATTGGATTGGGATGGACGTAAGGATCAGTAAGGATTGGTTTTGAATTGGTCTGAACGTAGATTGGAACATAAATCAAATGGTTAGACCATTGATGATGGATTGATGGATTTGAATTGGATTTGAATAAGATTTGTATTGGATTTTCATAGGATTTGGATTGGATTTGAATTGGAATATTTTTATTTTTGAGTTGGGTTTGGAATTGGTTTGGTTATGGATTGGATTAAACGAAGATTGAATTATGATTAGATTGGAAATTTAGGTTGGGTTCCGATCAGATTTGAAAAGGGATGGGATAAGATTTTTATTGGATTTGGATAGGCTTTAGCTTGGTTTAATGTTTTATTTGGGTTGCATTTAGGTCGAATAACATTTGGCTTGATTTTAGCTTGACCCTGTTTCGAATTGGTTTTGATTTGGACTCGAATTGGATTTGGATTGGCGTTGGGTCAGATTTGGATTTTATTAGGATTGGATATAGATTCGATTTGGATTGGAATTATATTGGAATATCATAGAAATTAAAGTGAATTGATACTTGATTAAGGTTGGTTTTGGATTGGTATTGGATTCAATTATGATCGGATTTGCATTTTATTTACATTGCATTGTATTGTGATGAGATTTTGATTGATATATGATTCTAATTCGATTTTATTTTATTTTTAAATTGGAATTCGATTACATTTAATTCAGATTGGATATATTAAGACAGGATCTACATTTAGTATTTAATTAGATAACAATTATAAATGTTTAAGATTGTATAAAATTTAATTCAGATAGGATTTTGATTAATTTATGATTATGTTTGATTGGATCTTAATTTGAATAGTATTAGATTAGCATTGGGTTTATTTGTATTAAATTTGGATGCAGTTGCGATGGATTGGAATAGTATGTGGATTTGAATTAGATAGATTTGTTAAATTTTGAATTGTCTTTTTAATTGAGTTTGGAGTGTAGGAGTGGTCAAGATTTGGATTTGAATCAAGCCTGTGGAATGCAATCCAATTTCAATTCAAATCCAACCTTCACCCAATTACATTCCAAATCCTATCTAAATGAAACCCAAATCTTATCTAAATCCTTTGGATTATATAGGATTTAAATTGAATTGGAGATTTAGTTTTTGATTAGACTTTGATTGGATGTAGATTAAATTTGAATTGAAATTGGATTTGGATTTAATAAAAATAAAGCTCGATTTGGAGTTAATTTGGGCTAGGCTCATGCGAACCTTCAAATGCTGCTTATCAACATCAATCTTTAAAATCAAATTGGGTCTCCGGCAAGCTTACCCCTTTATGGACAAGACACGCCACATCTACCCGAAGGAACTTGACTTTTCCGACACTAACTGAACAATTTTAATCCCTTTGGGACCTCCCAAAGTCCCAATTTTTCCCAGGTCCAATTTCAATTAATTTTCTAATAGCCTCAAGCCTTTAGATTATTTTTAGAATTTTTACTTAAAATAAATTAAAAAAAAACATTCTTTGATTATTTTTCCCAGAACGATATTATTTTCATTCTTTGTGGTGAGCGAACCTGAATAATAATAAAAAAGAAGATGACTATACAGTATGAGTGGTACCCTAGAGCCCCTTCCCGGAACGAGTGTATTGTTAATGGACCTGGTCTACGATTCAAGGTTGGCTTCTGTGATGATTGATATCACAAAAAGGTGAAATGAGTAGCACCATCTTCTTAGAAATGTAAGTATTGTTGACAATAATATAACTAGATTAAATGCAAATTTATCTGATAGGTAACTGGATCAACGATATTTAAACATTCGCATTCAATCTCGATGAGTTCTAATTTTGCATGTCAACCCCTTTGACTCTCCTTTCTCTTATCCTTCACCTATGCATCTAGGCTAATGTGTTAAGAATCAACTTAGCCCTCATTTATTTTCGGCAGATTTCAATCGACTCGCATATTTTTGTAGACGTTATGCTTCTGATTATCTGATTATTATATGACATATTACTACTTATAAAAAAATCGGGATGAGGAGGAACCATCAGGGCATCCAAATCGCTTCAAATTTGGATGGGGAGAGTGAAGATGTCAACTCCCTGTTGCTAACATTTCGAGGATAAAGAGCGGGTTCTTCTCCCCATTCATTAGGGCATCTTCCTGTTTGAATGGCTCGTTTTCTGAGCAATTGGCTGATCAAGTTGTTGGAACTGTCCCACGGAAATGAATAGGCCAATCGCCTATCAATCCATCCATTCGTTTTTGGCCCTTTATACAACGATTTTCTGATCTCCAGCTGATCAACAACTTTTGTCCATCTGTTATTTTTTCAGGACCTCAGGTTGATCAAGATCAGAAGATCTTCATCTCTTCAAAAATTCAAATGAAGTCTCTCAGAGGTCCTATTAAGACTGTAAGATGATCATGTTGTATTCAGAACGGTTGAAGGACAAAATTTCGAAGGACAAAACCTTGAAAGGACATAAGGTCGAATGAAAAAAAAGGTTGAATTGGACAAAACGGAGCAGTACCAGTAAAAATAGCGAACATAAATGAATTTTTAAAATCGACCTTCTTTTAAATAAAAGTTTACACACTTTTATAAAAATTTTATCCAATATTACTTGAATTTTTTAACCGTGTATATTTTGCCATAAAAGGAATCATTGCAAACCACCCATCATTTCTAAACCAATCAAATCAGAATTTTACCTTCATCCTCATTGCCACTCCACGTATGACCATTATCGGCATCGATATCGTAGTCATCGTCATATTCACCACCGTCGTCATAAACGTCAGCTGCGTTTCCTTGGAATTGCAATCCACCATCGTCGTCGTCATAGAACTCCTCTTCCTCCTCCTCCTCCTCTTGCTCGGCATCGTTGGGCTCTTCTGTAATGTAATCTTGGTTCTTTGTTTCGGCAGAGTCGGAAAACTTTCCTCCACCGGCATTATCCTGTTCCCGATCCTGCTGGGGCGGCGCCGGCGATGATACCATCTCATTGGTATTCTGCTGTTGATTGAAATCGGAAAATTTATTATTGCTCAAGTCTGTCTGTTCAGCTCCCAGACACACAGAGGAACACAAATGGACGCACAGTAGGATGGATTATTATTTGCCTGAGTTAAATTTATCTCTCAGTATCACACTCACCTTGCTGGATTCCTGCTGCTGCTCCTCCTCCTTCGTCGGGACGGTGGTTGACTTGTTGGACTGATCACGGCTCGTCACGTAGCAATTCAGCACCTGGAAAATTTTCAAATTATCGATTCTGGAATCATTTGCAATTTCGCCTTCATTCCATTACTTGGACCTTCCGCAGCTGGTAGCGGGCGTACGTCACCTCCAGTGTTACGTTGATTGCGAACGGATCCCTGGGTCGACCGTAGGTTCCATTGTCCGGTAGGTATACCTCATCCAGCAGGAAATGAAGATGCATGTCGTATGTGTCCTGATGGTGGGTATTGGAATTTATGAGCGAGGACGCAGTAAGTTACTGCCTCTTATAATATGACGACTTGAATCAGTCTAGTACAGAATAATTCTTATAATTGAAAACTATTCATAGATAATCGAAGCATTGTATAGATCAAAATACAGATTGAACATAGCGGGAAAACTATAGTGCTATGTCGTTGTTAGTAGTTTAATGTTTAGTTTATTTATTACCCCTTTAAAATGGATTGTTTAAATAACTACGAATGGATTATATTCAGGAGACTGGCAACCCCATATCAATCCTATACGTTTGACAGTAGGCAAGATCACGGGCCTTATTTAAATACGGCCCGCCTGACGTATACATGAAGGACAGGGACGAAAAATCGTGTTGTAAGCAGAAAGACAAGAGCAGATGAAAGCATCAAAAACATGGCCGCCAGCCAGGCCCCTGATTATATTCTAAAGGGTATCCACAGTAACATCATAGAGGTAACTCTAAGACTAGTAGGTCCCGAAGAAAATCATTATTATTTTTGGCTCACTCAGTACCAGAACAACGGTCCCAAGCTATTTCACTCACCCCTGCATGTTCTGCATGAATCCACACACCCCTGATGTTATCTGTCAAACTTTCATAGCGAATCAAAACAAACATAGTGTAGTAATAGAATTTCAACTAGAATAGGGTACTTTAATCGTTTGCTTGGGACCAATAGGCTACTAAAGTGATGAGCCAATTTAAAATCGTTAGTTTCGTATTGATTGTTGGTAACATCATAGAGGTAACTCTAAGACTAGAAGGTCCCGAAATAACGTGCTCAACTTTTTGGCTCAGCTCTGGTACTCTCTTCGGTCCCAAGCTAATCGATTCACCCCTCGAAACATAAGAAAAACCAATAACCCCTCATTTTATCTGTCAAACTTTCATAGCGAATCAAAACAAACATTGCGTAGTACTAGAATTTCGACTAGAATGGGATACGTTAATCGTTTGCTTGGGACCAATAGGCTAGTCAAGTAGTGAGCCAATTTAAAATCGTTAGTTTCGTATTGATTGTTGGTAACATTGCATCACTTTCAAAAAGCTGAAACATTTAGGCCTTAGGGTTAATTTTAATTAAATTTTGGGTAAGATGGTCTCAGCGTATATTGTGAAATTTCTAGTATTTTTTAAAATGGATTCGCGTGCGTGAGAAAATTGTGCACCTCACCTCAACAACCCACATCTTTCGCACCGACTCATCATCGGAAAGATGTTGGGAATCCAACAAGCTACTGTTTCTCGTGTCATAAAACGTTTTGGAAAACGTTTAACGGTCGATCGGAAGAAGTGAGTGCAAGACAAAGTGCTCCGTACTGCGTTGAAGATCACAAGCGAGTGGTTGCTGCCTTCAAACGCAAACCCAATTATTCCGTTCGGGATGTCGCGGGAAAACTGCACCTAACAAAAAGTTTCGTGCAGAAAGCCAAGAAACGAGCAGGACTACGTTCATTCGAGGTTCAGAAAGCACCAAACCGCAGCAAATTCCGGTAAACCAGTATGTGACTGCGAAAGTCATGTTCGATGTTTCAGAGTCCCTCAAGAAACAGCAAGTGTCGAAATTCCCCAAGACATTCATGATTTGGTGATTTGTTCTTGTGGCATACGTGCACATTTCATCGATACGTCAAATGCCTGTGCTAACTTGGCGCACTGATGCCAGGATAAATACGTCAGAAATATACAGAAACAGTTCAGTTGACTCAGGAAGTCCAAACGAATAACAAGTCTATTTTAAAACTCCGTTTGCATCCGAAGAAGTCCGCGTAGTGAAATCGGTCCTTCTAGTGGAAACTGTTCTCGATCCACCCAGTGAAATCGGTCTAATTGCCGTCCGGTGAAGCACGGACATAAAAGTTCGTCTGGAAAACGGAGCAAGCCTTTCGTAACAACTACAACCGTAAATGGCAAAATCTACATGAACGGATGCCTGAAGATACGACTGCTTCTTTCTCTAATCACACATCTAGCCTCTTGTCATCTAGCTGCTTGTCACACTCCAAGGATGTTATGGAGTGGTACAAGACGAATACAGTCAATTTCGTGCCGTAGGATCTCAATGCTCCAAACACACCGGAGTTGCGTTTGGACTACCCCATGCTAGTCGAAATTCTAGTACTACATTATGTTTGTTTTGATTCGCTGTGAAAGTTTGACAGATAAAATGAGGGGTTCGTGGACTTTCCTATGATTCGAGGGGTGCGTCGATTAGCTTGGGAACGAAGAGAGTACCAGAGGTGAGTCAAAAAGTTGAGCACTTTTCTTCGGGACCTTCTAATCTTAAGTGCCACTCACATTAGATCCGTTTGCGTTGCGTTGATGTAAATTTAGACAGTTAGACAATAGATTTAGCTGTCACTTTGCCGCAACTCGTCCGATCCGAATTTAATGTGCGTGGGTCTTTAGAGTTACCTCTATGCTAATACTAACGGTGCCAGAGAAGTCTACGGAAGTTAGAGTGGAGAGTCAAACGTTCTAGACAAAGGAGGTTCCAGTCGATTCCGGTTAGGATTTTGAATGATGCCAACGAATGTTTCAGTGGATTTCAGTAGAGTTTTCTGGCATTCGCGATGGTTGTGGTTCTAGGAGATTTCGTTGGAGATTTCGGATGCTGCCAATCAAAATTCCAGTGGATTTGAACGGAAATGACTGACGGTTTCGTCGGGGGAGGTTCCGCACCTTTTTGGAGGAGATTTCAAATGCTGCCAACAATAGATTCGATTCAACCTCTGGTGATGAATAGGAGAACGTCTAAAAGAGTGTTGTGAGCAGAAATTACTGCCGTGAGACATAGCAAGCGGAGCTCTTTTTCACGTTTCCCTATAAATAGATTAATCAGAGATGCTCCAAAACTTGATCTACAGTTGAAAAATTTAAATATGTATCGGTATATTTTTCCAGAAAAGTAGACATAATTTCCCTGCTGGTTTTAATCATTTGGAATGACTGCTTGATACTTTCGTTTTGCTGCTGATGTTGATTTCACGTGACAGTCATTATCGTCGTCGTTGAAGCCACCGTCGAGGTTGAACGATAGTAATTGCATTTTATGTACAATAAGTAAAGGGTTCGGCGGCCTGGTGGTGATCGTTTTCGATTAATGAGCAGAAGATTAAGGGTTCAATCAAAAGCTCTTTCGTTCTGCAGAGTTGCTCGGGTTGCAATACGAGCAAACGATTAATTCCTTTCCCATAATATATGTAGAGATGCAAAGGTTCCCTTCCTTCCGCTGATGTGCGTTCACTAATTGGAGAAAATGTGACACAAGCTGCGCGCAATGATAACTAATCATGAACACATTTAGTTTTCATTATTAGTAAACATTTCCCGTAGTTTCTGTCACTTTTTCTCAAGTGAGTGAACCAGGCCTGTCATGGTGGTTACTCATGGTTACTCCATGAGTAACCAGCTCTGAGAAACTAACACATTTTTGACGTAGGATTACCTCTTTCGGCAACATATTAGCGGTGCAATTTCATAAAACCAAAATCGACCTTACAAAAATTGATCAGGTTTTGAACACTTATAACTCTGTCAATCACATTCCCCATATAACAACAGTGGTAATCGCATCACGAGAACTTTAACCGTGCACAACAATACGCTTCATTCCGTATCGAGCGCTGAGTCGGTTAACACGGTCCCGGTCTCTCACACGACATAAAGTATTAGTTGTGATTTTTTTCCACCCGCGTGGTTTTTTCGCATCACAGTGCAGTGTCCAGGTGATAAGCGCGCGTGTCTCGGAAGCACCGAAATTCGGCGAGCCCGTTTATTTCGAGTGTCCATCTCTACCCATCCCGGTGAAAGATCACCATCATCACGACGTCTCCATTGTATCGCAGTTATCGACGTCTCCATTGTATCGCCACCTGCAGCTGCAAGCAAGCAGTAGCAAACGGCATAAGTATAGTAGAATAGTTTTTTCGATTGCCTTGCTATTGTATAGCAAAGTTGCCTTGTGGCAGTGTGCTCTCCCTAATAGGGTGGGGCATTTTTGCAATTAGTAAAAAGTTATTTTTTTTTTGTATATAAATTTTTTTTTTTTTTTTTTTTGATAATATTTTTTTTGTATGGTTGCATGGCAACGAAATATTAACAACTAGTAGTTAAGTAAATTAATTGATGAAAGTTATTCTTAAGTTTTTTTTTTTCATTTTTAAGCGGTTGTGCACCGCTTTTGCGCAACACTTATGGCGTCTTCGAAAGGACCATGGGTTGTCTTTTTTCGGCCCAAAAATAAACCTTTGAAAACTCTCGACATTACGAGAGATTTGCTGCGGAAGTATCCGGGAATCTTGGTACACAAGGAAAGATTCAACAAACTGCGGGTAGAAGCACCGACTTATGATGTGGCAAATAAAATTGCTGAACACGAGCTTTTTAGTGTTGAGTATAACATCTACATCCCTTCTCGAGATGTGGAGATAGAAGGCGTGGTCTCCGACGCGAGTCTGACTGTCGAGGACTTGAAACGTGCCTCGGGAAGTTTTAAAAACTCCACATTCGCTACCGCGCTAGTGAAGATACTGGATGTAAGGCAACTTCATTCAGCATCTTTGCTAGACGGTAAAAAAGTTTATCGGCAATCAGACTCGTTTCGCGTGACTTTCGCAGGTTCGGTTCTCCCAAACTTTGTTAAAATTGATGGTGCTTTTTTTCCGGTGCGGCTGTTTGTACAGAGGGTATACAATTGTACCAACTGCAAAAGGCTGGGACACTCGGCCAGCCATTGCGGCAACAAAACTCGTTGTGGCAAATGTGGTGAAAACCACAAAGAGGATTCTTGCCACAAAGAATCAGTAAAATGCGCTTATTGTGGCGAGAATCCTCACCCTTTGCAGGAGTGCCCGATGTACAAGCAGCACTCCGATAAAGTGCAGCGTTCAATCTCTGGACGCTCCAAGCAGACATATGCTCAAATGTTGAAGGCTGCATCAGCCGTCCAAGATGCAAACCAATTTTCGATT